CCTTTAGATTGAACCATGGTAAGAAAACATCATGGTTTGACTGTCATCGGATGTTTCTTGACCAACATCACCCATTTAGGAGAGATCGTAAAAACTTTCTTAAAGGCAAGACTATCCAAAGATCACCACTGCCCTATAGAACAGGAGAGGAAATATTGAATCAAATTTGTGATTTGGACATAAGAAAAGTAACAGAGTTAGATGCAGAACAAGTCAATCGAAGAATATGTAAGTCTTGCGGATGGAAAAATAGAAGCATATTTTGGGATTTGCCTTATTGGAGATCTAACATGATTCGACATAATCTTGATGTCATGCATATTGAAAAAAATGTCTTTGATAATGTTTTTAAGACAGTTCTTAATTTTGAAGACAAAACCAAAGACAATCCACAATCACGTCAAGATATGGTAGAGTATTGTGATCGACCTCAATTGGCAAAGGATAGTAATGGAAAATATCCCAAAGTTGTATATACGATAGACAAGGAAGCAAGAGCTATCTTGTTCAATTGGGTGAAAGGCTTAAAGTTTCCAGATGGGTATGTTTCCAATTTGGGTAGATGTCCAGACACAAATGCGAAAAGGATATTTGGCATGAAGAGTCATAATTGGCACGTGTTCATGCAACGACTATTGCCTATTACCTTTCGCGAACTACTTCCTAGTAATGTGTGGCAAGCACTTACAGAATTGAGCTTATTTTTCAAAGATCTTACTTCTACAACTCTACGAGTTGATGACATGGAGAGATTAGAGAGAGACATCCCACAAATCTTGTGCAAGTTAGAACGTATATTTCCTCCCGTATTCTTTGACTCAATGGAACATCTTCCTGTACACCTTCCATATGAAGCAAGGATAGTTAGACCTGTACAATATCGATGGATGTACCCTTTTGAAAGGTAAATGTAAAACTTTATATAAAATTCGTGACTAGTATGATATATATTTTTATCTTCTAATGTAATGGTCCATACTTGTCATATATTTAGGTATCTAGGAACTCTTAAAAGGATGATTGGAAACAAAGCTAGTGTTGAGTGTTCCATTTGTGAAGCGTACTTGATGACAGAGTCAACACAACTGTTTTCTCATTATTTTGAACCTCATGTCATGACACGTATTCATAACGTGGACAGTAATGATGATGGTGGGGATAAGGAAGATATTGAAGGAAATTTATCAATATTCTCCCATCCAAGTCGACTATGGGGAGAAGCAAAAAAAAAGGATTTATCCCTTGAAGAAATCAAGGCTGCCCAAACTTATATCTTACTAAATTGTGAGGAGGTTGAGCCGTTTGTGAGGTAACAAAAGTTAATTTTATTTTCTTAATAATATAAACATATCCTTATATCACAACTTTTCAATCTAACTTATTTTGTTGTAATGAAGTATGTTCATACAACGTTTGCAAGAAGAATTTCCGAATCTATCTCAGGGTCAAATAGACGAGTCTTGAAGCAAATTTCTCTATATGGTTCAAGGAATTTGTGAGTATTGTGAAATTATCTTTTATACATTGACATGCTTAAATTTAGTTTTAAATTTTACTAAGTCTTACATTTTAAAAAAATAGGTCCAATGCAATCCCATTGAGAATGAATTCTTGCGTAGTCTTGCTCATGGATCATTAATAGACGCTACATATTATTCTGCGTATTTTGTTAATGGATACAAATTTCACACAGAATGTCATGGTAGCACAAGATCAACAATGAATAGTGGAGTTTGTATCTCAGAT